AAATGTGTATTTTGATGAGGTCTACAACTTTTATTGGAAGTATTTTTCAAAATTCCCACTATTTACGGAATTAAATAAGAAACTATGATTTTTATTGCGCCAATTTTCATTATCATACCCGTTTCTCAAAAACTACTGTCTCTATGACAAAAATCAATAGGATATAAAATGTATATTTTGATGAGGTCTACAACTTTTATCCGACATATTTTTCAAAATTCCTACTATTTATGGAAATAAATAAGAGAATTCACTATCATACTCGTTTCTCAAAAACTATTGTCTCTATGACAAAAATCAATAGAATATAAAATGTATATTTTGATGAGGTCTACAACTTTTATCCGACATATTTTTCAAAATTCCTACTATTTATGGAAATAAATAAGAGAATTCACTATCATACTCGTTTCTCAAAAACTATTGTCTCTATGACAAAAATCAATAGAATATAAAATGTATATTTTGATGAGGTCTACAACTTTTATCCGACATATTTTTCAAAATTCCTACTATTTATGGAAATAAATAAGAGAATTCACTATCATACTCGTTTCTCAAAAACTATTGTCTTTATGACAAAAATCAATAGGAGATAAAATGTGTATTTTGATGAGATCTACAACTTTTATTGGAAGTATTTTTCAAAATTCCCACTATTTACGGAATTAAATAAGAAACTATGATTTTTATTGCGCCAATTTTCATTATCATACCCGTTTCTCAAAAACTACTGTCTCTATGACAAAAATCAATAGGATATAAAATGTATATTTTGATGAGGTCTACAACTTTTATACGAAGTATTTTTCAAAATTACCACTATTTACGGAAGTAAATAAGAAACTATGATTTCCCGAGACAAATTTTAGGTTAAGTAGCTTACAGTGGTTTCAAATAAAAATGTTACTTTTGCAGAATATTATACAGGCTTGATTTGGCAGTGAACGTGTTAATTCATGGCTGTTGGGCAACCCTAGTCGATCACAATCGTCCAGTCTGCTGTCCCAATAATGTGTCATACGTGTTTGGCGAAACGATCGAAAATCGACCGGTTTTGCGGACTATGAGACTGTTCGAAAAGGGGCTGCGCGCGCAGATGCTCGAAAACAGACAATTCCCATTGTACGTTGCGCAGAACGCGACAATGGAACTGCGCGAAATCGATCGGGGAAACTGACTCACGGGGATGATCGTCCCTGTACAGACCAAAGCGATACCAGAGTCTGTTATGGTCGAATACCTTGGCATAAACAGAGACCCAAACATTAATCTGGAAACTGGCCTGAAAAGGGACAACAGCTGCGAATAAAACTGAGAATGTTACTGGCTACTAGGTCGTCGTTCAAACCTCGCGATGGAAAACAAGTCGCTCGTATAGAAAATCATATTAAAACCGGTTTGAACTTGTGGAATTCGACTCTGGGGGATGTGTGCTAAGTCAACCATTGTAAACACAATACGAAGATTCTGATGGAAATGATTGTTTGGAACGTTAAATGCAACGTATTGGCGTCAGCAAGGATCAATTAAGGATCTTAACGTGGGTTGTATCATCCAGGAAATCCAAAGATTTGTCAAAATTTCGAGAAAAGAATTCGAGAAGATGTGGAATTTTTCGAAAAAATTAAATATTTCAAATTGTTCCGAAAAAAATATTTTCGGTTACAGGGGTCGATTGCAATCATTTTTGGTTATTACAAGCACCCCCGAAATCCTATCCATTTTCGAGAAAAAAATTCGAGAAAATGTAGAATTTTTCGAAAAAATGAAATATTTCAAATTGTTCCGAAAAAAATATTTTCGGTTGCGGGGGACAATTACAAGTATTTTTTATCATTACGCGTACCCCCGAAATTCTAACCGTTTCCGAGAAAAAAATTCGAGAAGATGTGGAATTTTTCGAAAAAATTAAATATTTCAAATCGTTTTGGAAAAAATATTTTCGATTGCGGGGGTTAATTACAATAATTTTTAGTTATTACACGTACCCCCGAAATCCCATCCATTTCCGAGAAAAAAATTCGAGAAAATGTAGAATTTTTCGAAAAAATGAAATATTTCAAATCGTTCTGGAAAAATTATTTTCGATTGCGGGGGTCAATTACAATAATTTTTGGTGAGTAGACGTACCCCCGAAATCCTATCCATTTTCGAGAAAAAAATTCGAGAAGGTGTGAAATTTTTCGAAAAAATTAAATATTTCAAATCGTTTTGGAAAAAATATTTTTGGTTGCAGGGGTCGATTGCAATCATTTTTGGTTATTACAAGCACCCCCGAAATCCTATCCATTTTCGAGAAAAAAATTCGAGAAAATGTAGAATTTTTCGAAAAAATGAAATATTTCAAATCGTTCTGGAAAAATTATTTTCGATTGCGGGGGTCAATTACAATAATTTTTGGTGAGCAGACATACCCCCGAAATCTTACCCATTTTCTAGAAAAAAATTCAAAACTGGGTGAACTTTAAACATTAATAACTTTTTAATAAAGCTTCCATCAACAAATTAGTATTCTTGATTTTCGTCTTATTTTGGCCTCAAGAATCTCCCATTAAAATTTTTCCCATGGAAACACCCTTACTAGAGAAATATTGAGAAAGTGCAAGTGCATATAAAGATCATCCAATAAGTAAATGGACAAAATCAACAAAAATGGTTCAGATAATATTAAAATGAGGACTTTAACATCTTTACAATTAATAATTAGCAATCCTTGCAAGAACACGTGTCGATCGATTGTCAATTATTTCGATGTTTATAACCTCTTTCGTGTGATCACACGAATACTTTTTTTTTCACACATAATAAATTCGAATCTTTTCTAAAACACTTACTAACTGTAGATAAGCAATTAATTTTATACGACAATCCCTATTTTAGTGAATAAACAATTTGCAAATATCAAAATACTAAAAATTGCTTTAAGTTCTACCACAAAACTCAACATTTATGAGATCACCTAATATTTGTGAAAAATATTCATCATAATTACAAAACTAACCCCTCTACTACGTTATCCTTATATCGTTAACTAACTTTTCCCAACAAAATCAATCCAACGTGTTATTTAATTCTCGATAACGCATATACTATCAAAGGGGTATCATTACAGGTAAATATCGACCGATTTCCATTGTTATAATTTTCTCATGAATATCCAACAACTCTGAATATCGTTTACGCGAGGAAACGACGCCGTAATCATCGTAAACCATTATCGCCTCCATTACCGTGCCATAATGACTGCACTAAATCCGATTATTCGTCGATAAACGTAATTTCGACAACATTACAATAGAAAGTTACAGCTGAAACTGTTCGACGATAGTTCATTACGATTTAAATCATCGATTATAATCGATAATAATCGCTTAATAATTTCCATGTCCGTCAGTGCATAATACGAGACGAAGAAACGAATGGAAAATGAATGGGAAAACGAATGAAAAAACGAATGGGAAAACGAATGGGAAATGAATGGGAAACGAATGGAAAATGAATGGGAAACTAATGGAAAATGAATGGAAAACTAATGGAAAATGAATGGAAAACGAATGAAAAAACGAATGGAAAATGAATGGGAAACGAATGGAAAACTAATGGAAAATGAATGGAAAACGAATGGGAAACTAATGGAAAATGAATGGAAAACTAATGGAAAATGAATGGAAAACGAATGAAAAAACGAATGGAAAATGAATGGGAAACGAATGGAAAACGAATGGAAAATGAATGAAAAACGAATGGGAAAATGAATGGAAAACGAATGGGAAACGAATGGAAAATGAATGGAAAACGAATGGAAAATGAATGGGAAACGAATGGAAAATGAATGGAAAACGAATGGGAAACGAATGGAAAATGAATGAAAAACGAATGGGAAAATGAATGGAAAACGAATGGAAAATGAATGGGAAACGAATGGAAAATGAATGAAAAACGAATGGGAAAATGAATGGAAAACTAATGGAAAACGAATGGAAAATGAATGGGAAACGAATGGAAAACTAATAGAACACGAATGGAAAATGAATGGAAAACGAATGGAAAATGAATGGAACACGAATGGAAAATGAATGAAACACGAATGGAAAACCAATGGAAAATGAATGGGAAACTAATGGAAAATGAATGGAAAACGAATGGAAAACCAATGGAAAATGAATAGAAAATGAATGGAAAACTCTTTACGTGCATTTCGTTTCCACGTTTCACGGATCAAATCTATTTCGAACATCTCGAATGCCACGATAATGTTGTCGCGTTGCGGAAACCAATCGAAAGACAATCTATTGTATTTAAATCGCACCCGTAACCGTGGAGACACAGTACATACGTGCAGAGCAAACCGTACAACGATTTGTACACTTTGTAACTGTCAGATCGAGCTCAACTAATCGCGATTAAAAAACACACATTATTTGTTTACGGTGCAAACGTAAGTACAAACACGCGACTTTGCAATTCTCGAGACTCTTTCCCGAGACTCCACAGGTGTCGAAAATTATACTGTACAGTCTTTTACGTCGTATCCACGCACTATACAATAAAATTCACGAATAAAGAAAACGTGAGAACAGTGTTAAATTATTTTTGATCTTACGAATCTCTTTTGCTGGAACTTACGAAGGCCAACTGAGAAATTTCTAAATTGATACGATGTATTTGGCTTCATAGGTTAAGTGTCATATATATATATATATATATATATATACACTTCTTTACGAAACGACAAATCGAAGAAAAGAAAACTATTTAATATCAAAATACACAGACACAAAGTGTGTGTTGTGAGACAGAAATCTGCATAGATCGAATCCACATAATCGAAGGACTCGCTGTATCGTGTCTTCTTATATATTTTCTGCGTCTGCGTGTAAAAATTCGCGATCTATCGTCGAATCACGAGCGAATCAGCTCGTTCGACTCGATTTTATCGCTTTTTCGACGAATCGAACAGACAAGTTGAGAAACGAATCACTTCGGCTGAAACTCACCGAGAGATCCGAAGCGGCGATCGAAAATCCCAGAGATCGAGGGGCCGGCGTCCCGCCGTGTCGACGCACCGGAACGGTTTTCAAACACTCCCGACGTCCCCTGCGTGGCACGAATATCTCCACGTCCACCGCGATCCAGCCAATCTCATAATCACGATCACCGAACTTGACACTGAACTGGTTCCTTTTTTAAAATCGAAACACGGCGGCGGCGCCGAACACGACGCTTGTGAACGCCAAACTATCGTGGCAACGGGTGCTTCGCTACTGCGTGACGGTGTTCGTTGCGTGCTCGCCTTTCCGGCCCGGTGATTGGTGGAGGGGATGACCGGGGCAGATGGCAGCCACGGAACTCACCGACGAGAACCGAGCGTCACCGAGCGTCACCGAACTTCACCGAGGCTGATTCATAGCTTCGTAAGATAAGGTTAAGAATTTTAAGAATTTTATTCTTTCTGCAACACACATTAAAGCTGATATTATAATTCAAAGATATACTTAATACTGAATTATTCAAACTTTTATTTAAAAAAAAGTATATACACTTTAATTTATTTACATTTACTCTCAACCTGTATTACGATCTTAAAATCCTGGTTAACCCCATTCTTTAAATACTGTAGTATTTACTAAACTTTCCGGTGTGATAGGCCATAACGACGGTGGTAGCATCGCATAATCGTGCATTTCCAACGGTCTATACCACGCAGGATAGTTAACCTCCTCAGAGCCGCTTGAATTTGTATTAAATTCAAAATATTCTTTGATAATATCGTCAGGATTTGGCCAGCCATTTTCAGGCACGAACTGTGACCTCGACTGGTTTCTCGTTTCAACTGTAAATGAAACTCATGCAACTATACTGTATAACATCACTCTTGGCTTAAAAATAACTGTAATCGTTACCAAAATGTTGCAATTCCCATATCATCTGAGGCGTGTAATGGGAAAACCTGCATCCGAGACCGAACGCGCAATCACCGATGGTTAAATAACGTTTACATGGCGTTTTTGCGCATTCTTCCTTTAATATAACTTCTGGGTCTACAAATATTAATAAAATACAATGATCAACGAGTCTCTCGAGCCTCATAATTACGACTGTTTACTTATTAACCCATATTTTTCGGGTTAACCAAGAATAATCAGTTTTCTTTATTGGATTTCTTTCTAAAAATGTGGTTTCCGTTAATTACAACGTATAATTTGAAGGAAAAGAAATATTATCATTAGACTGCGGATCTTTATGCAAATTCATATCTTTATTAATGGAAATAATGAATTTGGAGCTTTCTAGAGGGTTGTCTCGAACCCTAAATACAATAATTCGTATCTTACTTTAAGTATACCTTATATTTTTCTATGTTAAGTGCATTCCGTAGCTTTTTGTAAATTAAAATTTCCTGTAAACGCGTAAACATCCGCAGTCTAATTATCATCCCTCGAACCATTAGATTAAATAAATATCGTTTATCGAAGCAGTCGGACTCGGTCGTGGACGTTAAGGGGTTAATACTAATCTCCAAACATAATAGAAGAAGGATCGCAGATATTTTATTTCTAAGCGAGCTAATCAAAGGTCATATTTCGTCTTCGACAATTATTCAATCGTTTCCGTTGTATGTACCGTCTAGATATTTAAGAACTTTCTTTTTTACCCCGAAACTTACTGCGCAACGTTTGGATCTCAGAATTGCGTAAACAGAATTAGTAATGTAAATTTCGCAGACACAAAAACAGATTTAATCGAACAATCATTAGAAAGTCTAAAACTATCCTTGCGACGTAATTAATTTATTCTTGTTACGTTCGCTAAGCGATAATGTCTGGACTATGTGAAATCCACAATCTGTAGTTCCTTAGATATTACATCGTTGTACTAAAGGGTTTAATTAGTTAATAAATGAATAATAATAATACTAAAAGAGTAATGATCATTTTAAGGTTATGTTCCGTAATTTATTCGATATCATAGCGATTTAAAATACGTTAGAGGTATAAAGCTATTAAACAATCACCTTTGTACATATTGTAATGATCAGCGCGGTTCTTTGCATGTTGCAAGCTCGAAAGATGCTTTTTCCTAGCTTCTGGATCATCCTTGAACGATCTGTCGCAATAAGCGCAATAATATCGTTTCCCCATGAGCGATTAAATTATTATAGAAGCCGGGAAACAGTATTGCGTGTCATAAATATTTTGATTTAAATTGATAAGTATAGATTCGAATAATTCACAACAACTTCAACTTTTCAAAGACGTGAACGAAGAAACGGTTTCGTCGCTACTGACGCGACATCTGGTGTACAAATTAAAGGTTTGTTCTTATTGAAGTTATTTATTCTTCTGTTAAATAAATAATTGATCTGACACTTTCGACCGTATATAGGGTGTCTCAGAAATACATGTAAATATTTACAGAGTCGAATCTACTCAGAAAAATAACAAAATGGAGGACTTAAAATGGACACTCTGAAACCTATTTTGTATCCTTGCAATTTCTGTTGAATACACAATAGGTTTTAAATCTTTCAATAAATATATTCGTTTTTTTTACATTTTTTTAAAAAACAAATGCAATAATTTATACTCAAATTTCTTGTTTCTTTTTCCATATTTCGTTAGTTCGTGAAATCTAAGACACTTCTGAGATATTCCAGAAAATTTTCGCCACATTTTGAGGTTATTTACAAATATTTTTAACACACCCTGTATATTCATCAAGTAGTTCATGGTTGTATTGAAAGAAAACGAAGAGAGGGTACAGAGCAATTAATTTAATCGAAGGTGTATCTCCCCAATGCTTTTTCGCAGTATAAATCGGAATTTGTTTCATTTTTTTTGTACACTTAATGGGTATTTATTTTAAACAAACAGATTACGGTACATGATACTGCTCATTCAAACGTTACAAGTTTGTTTACATCCTTAGAATATAATTCACCGCCTTGTGTATCGCTAGTCTATGCCTGTGTGTTCTCGGTTAATTTTCAAAATGACATCGTTTCGCAACTACAGAAGCTCCAATATGTTTAAACGTTTCTTTAATCATACATCCCCCCTTTTCGAGCAACAATTTCGCTATCATCGAGCGAAATTGCGTATCCCCCCTTTCATTCGTTTAATTCCAAGCCGCCGCGCACTTGGAAACATCATTCTCCCATTCTTATGGTATATCATTCGATTCGAATTTTACACCTTAGATAAAATCCTAATAATAATCGCTATTCAAATCTCACGCATTGTTCCACGCGAACACGGGCCGGGGGGGGGGACAATTAAAAATTCCTCGTTCGAAACGTAAAGGCGATCCTCACCAAGCGGCAGTAATGAATAGCAGCTGTTTTATTGTGTCGTTTACGGGAGATCATAAATATATTTGATAGTATTAATATTATTATACACGTATATAATATAAATACAATATTAATAGTATTAATATATATAGTGTCAATATGGTTTTTAATGTTTCGTACGGGAGCCTCTTAATTCGTGTAGCATACAAATATTATTATAACAGGAATATAATATTATAAATAGATTTCATATATTAGAGTCTTTTTCTATAGAATTTTTTAGCGTGCCGTTGACGAGACTCGACAGGTCGTGTGAATCGGCTTTCGATATTCGCGTAGTCAATATTTCATTTCAAATTTTTTTTTTCCATCGATCATTTTCGACGATAGCAACGAAATAACGTGAAAATTTAACTGGGAGTCAAAAAATGCACGAAAAATCGTGATTCAAATCCAAAAATCTTTCTTTTCTGATCTTTTTCGATAAAGTAGTCGAAATATGGCGGAAATTAACAACAATATGGGGGTTTTTCACGGTTTTAGGAACCATTTTCATGGGACTTCCGGTTCAATAGAAACTCGACCTCAAAGTACGTTAAATAATAGTTAATTTTTGTACAATATACGAACTTTCTTTTAGATCCTATTAAACTGTTTCCTTCCAAAAAGATAAAAAATTAGTTGCATCCACAAAGTATATTAAATAATAATTTTTGTATAATATATGAATTTTTTTTTTAGATTCTATTAAACTGTTTCCTTCCAAAAAGATAAAAAATTAGTTGCATCCACATTTTTCACGGTTTTGGGAACCATTTTCATGGGACTTCCGGTTCAATAGAAACTCGACCTCAAAGTACGTTAAATAATAGTTAATTTTTGTACAATATACGAACTTTCTTTTAGATTCTATTAAACTGTTTCCTTCCAAAGATAAAAAATTAGTTGCATCCACATTTTTCACGGTTTTAGGAACCATTTTCATGGGGACTTCCGGTTCAATAGAAACTCGACCTCAAAGTACGTTAAATAATAGTTAATTTCTGTACAATATACGAACTTTCTTTTGGATTCTATTAAACTGTTTCCTTCCAAAAAGATAAAAAATTAGTTGCATCCACAAAGTATATTAAATAATAATTTTTGTATAATATATGAATTTTTTTTTTAGATTCTATTAAACTGTTTCCTTCCAAAAAGATAAAAAATTAGTTGCATCCACATTTTTCACGGTTTTGGGAACCATTTTCATGGGGACTTCCGGTTCAATAGAAACTCGACCTCAAAGTACGTTAAATAATAGTTAATTTTTGTACAATATACGAACTTTCTTTTAGATCCTAATTAAACTGTTTCCTTCCCAAAAATAAAAAATTCGAATCCACAAAGTACATTAAATAATAATTAATTTTTGTACAATATATGAATTTTTTTTTAGATTTTATGAAATTGTTTCTGCTTGAAATTGATTTTAAAGTCCAACACATCTCTCACAATTAAGTATTCGGTTTTTTGTTTACCATTTTCGAGGATTTCGTTCGTTTTCGAGGTTAGAATTCTATTTAACGTTCGATAGAAACGAGATACATCGCATGGCAGAGATTGGTGACGCATAGCGAAACTATTTACACGGGGAAATAAACGACAAGCAATGTCAGGAGTTGGGGGGGTCATTACGGGGAATGATAAAACGATAACAGCTCTTGCTGCACATTTGATGCTATCGCGATAGACCCTGTCATACATTATGTAATAATTCCGAGGACAGAAATACATGCATATTAAAGCCGCTCGATAGTTTCGCGAAGATTCCTCGATTTCAACGCTCAGAAAAACACAGTTACAAGAGCAAAATAATAAATATAAAAATTGTCAATAATTACTTCTTAAACCAAGAATTTTAATATTCCATTTAATTGATAAATATTTCGCGAAATCTTTGTCAAAATTAATATTGTATTTTCAGAATTGATGAAATACAGAGTTGATCGTTAATTTGAAACTTCCGAAAATTTTAAAGGTTTTGAGGTTAGTTTCTTTAATGAAAATTAATTGTTAATTACTTCGTAAACCAAGAACTTAAATATTCCATTTAACGAATGAATATTTCGTGAAATTTTTGTTAAAATTGATACTGTATTTTCATAAATGATTGTTAAACTTCGAAAATTTTTTAAATAACGATTTTAAAGGCTTCTAGGTCTCCATCAGTTTCATAAATGAAAATTAACTATTTCTGTATAATAAAAACAGCAAATAATACCAAAATGTTACATTTTGTCGAAAAAATCTTTGTCCAAATGGAATTAATCGTCAACTAACTCACTTTTTTAATAACAAAAATTCGAAAACCACTGTGTGATTGTATAAAAACATAGTTAACAAGTAATTTATCATACAATTGTTTAAAAAAATGATATTTTATAAGGAACAATTAAGAATAACATAAAATGGAAGACACATCGTTAAAGAAATATGGATTTTGAATATTTTTCGAGGCTTCAAGTTTATAGATTGAGGTTAGGTTTTCATGACAGCGTATTCCATTAAACTTCAACGATAAAATCATCCCTGAATGGTCGATTCTCTAATTATTTCGATCAGTATTACATCCAATATCAATAATATTTAATAATAAAATTATTAAACTTAAGAAGATCGTTTTTTTCTTTGAATTGTTTATCGTACTGAATTACGCGAGCTTCAAATCAATCGAAAGTCGTGAAAGAAATGGAAATGCAGGTCAAAAGGTTAAAATGGCGGAAAGGGGGTGGCTCGAGTGCCCGTAGCGACGATAAAACGCGGTGTTGAGTTTCTAGGCTCGCTAAAAACAACGTGTGTATGTATGTACATATACTCCATCGACCAGCTCGATCGAATCAAACCCGATAGAAGGCAAAACAACGCGGAATTTACGAGAACAAAAAGATAAAAACGCGACGTTCGTTCTACTACGCGTGGACCACCCGGTATACATATACTTCTCCGATAAAAACATTTTTTGAAAATATCTCGAGATCCAATAATTTTTTCGCCATGGTACCCCAATAATTTTTTACGCGGAATGAACGGAAGAATCGATCCGTGTAAAAAAAAATATGCACTTCTATTTAAAGAAATTATGCGATTGTTAATTGCACATGCACCGTTGCATCTAAAAAAAATTTAAAGGCCTACGGATGTAGTGCTCATCGTACCATTTAGTTTTCTCCTTTTGGTATTTTTTCGTAAATGCAATAATAACGGAGCTATGACTCGAAACAATTGCCTGGATCACCCTGTATACATATACTTCTTCGATAAAAACATTTTTTGAAAATATCTCGAGATCCAATAATTTTTTCGCCATGGTACCCCAATAATTTTTTACGCGGAATGAACGGAAGAATCGATCCGTGTAAAAAAAAATATGCACTTCTATTTAAAGAAATTATGCGATTGTTAATTGCACATGCACCGTTGCATATAAAAAAAATTTAAAGGCCTACGAATATAGTGCTCATCGAACCATTTAGTTTTCTCCTTTTGGTATTTTTTCGTAAATGCAATAATAACGGAGTTATGACTCGAAACAATTGCCTGGATCACCCTGTAGATCGTGTACAGTCTGATTCATAATTTCTTTGTATCAATGTTGCACTCGTCGTGAAATCTAATACATTTTCTAATACGTTTGAAACTAGTTCGATGTTAATTTCGGTTTAAAAATTACCCGTTCGGGAATGGTTCGATACGAATGGCCGAGTCGCTGATTTGTCGAGTCCCGACACTGAAAATTATACAATTATAATTAATTAAACACGCTCTATTACCGGGCACGCGCAAGATACAACGCAAAACTCGTACAGAAATCCTCAATTGGCATCGGTCGATCGTCGATTTTCATTCCTGTGGCCCGACAATAACAAAGAACGTAATTTATTCGAGTCAATAAACCGTAAAACTGTTTCGATATCAATGTACACGCACGAGATTCACATTGGGGGGTTCCCCTACGACCAAGTCTCGCGTGTGGCGCCATCTGGGCCACTTTTCGGGGCACCGCGCATGCGTCGATTTCTCCTACGATCGAGTCGCAACAATAATCGCACAACACACGGTATGGAACAACCATAACTATACAATTATCGTCGAAACAGTTGCGTTCAGCGATGGAACTAATCCAATTATACATTCATTGATCCCGAAAGAGCTATTTCGAAGACTTAGGGGTTCTAATCAAGCCTGCTTATGTTCTCCATATTATCTACTAAATACTACTATTTTAATAGTAATTTCGTATGTTAAAACACAAATATATAAATATATGGCGTTCCACTTATGTCCCTCATCATGTTTTCTACATACACACGTTATAAAACGTTTCATTTTCTTCGATCTTTTCACAAAGAACTACATATGAATCAATTCGACTTCAATTTACTTTCAAAATTCAGATTGTACATCAAATATATTGCAAGGGAAACGAAAAAATAGTCCTCACAAGAATTTGCTAGCATCAGCCATCTTGTTTGCTTCCTCCAATACAATTTCTACAATTTTATTTATCCTGGAAGCTTCAGAATCAATTAACAGCGTAAATGGAGGACACTGTACGTGTTTATCTAGACAATACTTTGAATAAAGCTGTGTTATCTGAACAATTAGCTTGAATAATTGGTTATTCTTGGTATCGGTGTGTAACGAATGAAAGTTTCTTTCATTTTAACCAGCCATCAAGCTTGATATCATCGATACGTATCAAATCAAGTCAAATCGCTTCTAATCTTCCATTTTATGGACGCTAGAGAAATAATTTGCAAGGTGAATGTTTCGACAGTGTTTCTAAACAAGTCTATGCCCCATCGCTGGTAGTTTCAAAGGTAGTTGCACAAATTATTCCAATTTTATGGACGCTAGAGAAACAATTTGCAAGGTGAATGTTTCGATAGTGTTTCTAAACAAGTCTATGTCCCATCGCTGGTAGTTTCAAAGCTAGTTGCACAAATTATCATAGGAAAAATCGATACGTGCTCCCCCATTAGACGAGCCTGGTTAGGATTCACATGGTTTGCTCGACAAAATGCATTTTATTAAGAATATATCGAATGGCTCTCGCAGCCAATTATTTTCCCTCGTTATTTCTAGCTGCTTGGACTTGGAATATTCAAGCAAACCTTTTCGCGCAATTGCTCACTTCGTTCTCCAGACCAGAGACCAGAGACGAGCAAAATTACTTTTTAGAATCATTTCTAATAAAAAATTGGGAAGCTAAAACTCGATTAAGTTGAAATAAAAATTTTAGTGGAGTTAAAAAAATTTTGCAAATTTAAATTGCTATACATTGGCTCATCCACATACTAATTTTCGATAACGAATAAAAGATACTGCATTTAATTTAACACTGCACCTTTTTCGAAATTGTGAAAGCAAAAACGACGCGAGATTCGATCGATTATTCGCGAAAATTGTCATTCAAAAAGAAAGCCACGTTGGACCACGTACGATTCGAAGCAATCGTATTTAAAATGATCGAGAAAAATGGTCGCTGGATCGCGAGAATCGAATTAATCGTAGCGTAAAATAAAATTTGTTCGATCTTTAGCTATCGTTTCGATCGGTTCGATTGTATCTTAATTTTACCTTTACTTTAATGTTATTTTTGTGTTTTTTTTCTTTTATTTCGGGCGTGCTATCGGCGATTCGATTTCGAAGAATCAGCTACTCTCTCTCTCTCTCTCTCTCTTTCTCTCTCTCTTTGTCTCTCTTATGCTCCTTAATTTTTGGGGGGTTCTTCCTGGCCGGGAGTCCCCACTTCCTGGCGCACCTTGTGACCCCGGAAGCTCGCTTGGATTTTCGTCGCCGCTTTGTGCAGATCCGGATCCGTCAGATCGATACCCTCCAGCTCGTTCATGGCGTCCTTTGCCTGAAACAACAAATTGTAACGATGTTCAGATTTTTTTGCAGTTGCTATAGCGATGTCGATAGTGTTTACCACCCACAGTGGGGGGCCATTGCAAGCCAAACGCGACAAAAAGTGGTTTTCTATCGTTTTGTTAGCTTCAGCAGACACCGGATTGTAATTTCCTAGCAGTTGGCATTGAAATTTACGGTAAAAAGAGCGATCATAGAACTGAACAAGCCTAATCTACCGGAAAAGACAGGTAATTACCAAATACTGACATTGCAATGGCTCATGTAATTGTTGGAAATGAAGCATTTCCACTGAAATTACAATCCCATGATCAGGCTAAGCAACATTACCAACTATCAGCCTTTTAAGGAGCCATAAGAATATTTTACCCCTCCCATAAAAGTAAGTAAATGTTAATCTGGTTGTTCTAGCGTTAATCAAATCTCATGGACTATTATATTCGTTACTAATTATCAGAAGATCATAATTAGACTTCAGATCTTCACGCAAAATTCATATTTTTATTAATATGAACTAGACGATCGTCTTGACATGTACATATCCGCGATAATGCAATTCTCTCGCGAGAAAGCGCTCGAGAAGCTCCGCCACCTGGCGGTGACATCGCAGTACTGCTACTGGCAGTTCTGCGCGAACATAAAAATCATAATGAAATAATTTATCTAATAATATTTCTCTAATAAGGGCGTTTCCATGGGAAAAATTTTAATGCGAGATTCCGGAGGCCAAAATAAGGCGAAAATCAAGAATACCAATTTGTTGATCGAGGCTTCGTTAAAAAGTTATTAATGTTTACTTTTTGACGAAATTGAAAATTTTCAAATCGTTCTAAAAAAATTATTTCTGGTTGCAGGTGTCGATTTCAATCATTTTTGGTGAATACGCGTACCCTCGAAATCCTAACCAGTTTCGAGAAAAAAATTCGAGAAGATGTGAAATTTTTCGACGAAATTAAAAAATTTCAAATTCTTCTAAAAAAATTATTTTTAGTTACGCAAGTCAATTTCAATTATTTTTGGTCAGTAGACATACCCTGAAAATCCTAACCATTTTCGAGAAAAAAATTCCTTAACGAAAATATAAATTCTGGCCCAGAAATGGTACCCCGAAATTTCATGCGAATCTTTAAAAATTCATAACTTCTGAACGGATTGGCCGATTGTAATGTTCAAACCGGCAAACAAGGCGTATTTTAGTGGAGAATATGTAGAAATCGCAAAAATATTCGAAAACTTATTCCTTCGCTCCGAAAAATGAGAAAAAACCCCCTAAAAATGGTCCAATCTTCAAACGGCCATAACTCTTATAATAGTAGATAGATTTCATTGAAATTTATTCTGGAGGTAGAGCTCATAGACGTCTACAAAAAAGTATTAGACAACTTTTCTGTAGGACGTTATACAAAATGAAAAACGAATTTTTAAGAAAAATCGAAGGGGGTAGGTGCTTAACTAAAAACAAAATTTCAAATCTTTCTGAAAAAATTATATTCGGTTGCAGGGGTCAATTACAATCATTTTTGGTCATTAGACATACCCTGAAAATCGTAACCATTTTCGAGAAAAAAATTCCTCAACGAAAATATAAATTCTGGCGCAGAAGTGGTACCCCGAAATTTCATGCGAATCTTTAAAAATTCATAACTTCTGAACGGATTGGCCGATTTTAATGTTCAAACCGGCAAACAAGGCGTATTTTAGTGGAGAATATGTAGAAATCGCAAAAATATTCGAAAACTTATTCCTTCGCTCCGAAAAATGAGAAAAAACCCCCTAAAAATGGTCCAATCTTCAAACGGCCATAACTCTTATAATAGTAGATAGATTTCATTGAAATTTATTCTGGAGGTAGAGCTCATAGACGTCTACAAAAAAGTATTAGACAACTTTTCTGTAGGACGTTATACAAAATGAAAAACGAATTTTTAAGAAAAATCGAAGGGGGTAGGTGCTTAACTAAAAACAAAATTTCAAATCTTTCTGAAAAAATTATATTCGGTTGCAGGGGTCAATTACAATCATTTTTGGTCATTAGACATACCCTGAAAATCCTAACCATTTTCGAGAAAAAAATTCCTCAACGAAAATATAAATTCTGGCGCAGAAGTGGTACCCCGAAATTTCATGCGAATCTTTAAAAATTCATAACTTCTGAACGGATTGGCCGATTTTAATGTTCAAACCGGCAAACAAGGCGTATTTTAGTGGAGAATATGTAGAAATCGCAAAAATATTCGAAAACTTATTCCTTCGCTCCGAAAAATGAGAAAAAACCCCCTAAAAATGGTCCAATCTTCAAACGGCCATAACTCTTATAATAGTAGATAGATTTCATTGAAATTTATTCTGGAGGTAGAGCTCATAGACGTCTACAAAAAAGTATTAGACAACTTTTCTGTAGGACGTTATACAAAATGAAAAACGAATTTTTAAGAAAAATCGAAGGGGGTAGGTGCTTAACTAAAAACAAAATTTCAAATCTTTCTGAAAAAATTATATTCGGTTGCAGGGGTCAATTACAATCATTTTTGGTCATTAGACATACCCTCGAAATCCTAACCAGTTTCGAGAAAAAAATTCGAGAAGATGTGAAATTTTTCGACGAAATTCAAAAATTTCAAATTCTTCTAAAAAAATTATTTTTAGTTACGGGGGTCAATTTCAATTATTTTTGGTCAGTAGACATATCCCCGAAATCCTGCACATTTTCGAGAAAAAAAATTCAGTATGAGCAGAACTTTAAACATTAATAACTTTTAAACAAAGCCTCAATCAACAAATTAGTATCATTGACTTTCGTCCTATTTTGGCCTCTAGAATCTCCCATTAAAATATTTCCCAAGGTCGATCGAAAGAATTACTAAATAATCAAAAAAAAAAAAATTAGGTTTGAAATTCTTATTTTGATAACTTTGAATTGGTCGATGAAAATTAATCTGAATATTAGATTCCAATCAGGTATAGCAAAATTGCTATTAAATACCAGATTCGACAAAAAAAAAAATTCCAAAATAATAAAAAAAAAAAAATGAGGTACAAAATTCTTATTTTTATATTCTTTTTTTAATGAGTAGCTTTGAACTATATTTTAATACAAAATGAAAGAAGTTTTTTTTTAAGCGATGATACAATGGCTTTGCCAAAAGAAGAGGAGGGAGTTATCGACCAAGAAGTTAGTTTTAATGTTTAAAAACATTGATTTGGGAATCTTAAACTGTTTTTACCTAATCTGACGTAAAAATCGAACCATAAATAAAACTGTCTTCGTCACGGGGCAGTTTCTCGCGATTATGGGCGCAATTATTGCCCTACCGGGGCTATTTTTACGCTGGATTAATAACGAAGCGGTCCTGACGTCACGGACGCGAGGCAACAAGGGCTCGAAACGGGTGAAAAAAGGAGCCACCGCATGCAAAAGAGGTTTCTAAACATGTAAATTGCAATTACGCGCGAACGTATTTGCATTCGACCCCCCCCCCCGGGGAGCCACCTTCTCCTTCGACCTGACATTAACCGCCCCCTCCATCCCGCTTTCGTGCGAGGAGAGGTTTCCGTGACCCCGTGTGCCTGCACAAAGGTACGCGAACCTTCGTGTTCGGGTATTATTCGTCATCCACCGGATCGTGAGTCACTTTGATAGCTCGATGTTGGATGGTTTAAAGACTCCAAGCGATATAAAGGGGGCCAACCGGAAATCTCAAGAGAATTGTCACCGATAACAACCTTAAGGGGGGACCACCTCTTCTAAAATGAAACTTTTTCACCATTTTATTGCTCGAATTGGTAGAAAATTTCCTCAGGAATACTATGAAAATGTTAGAAAGTGATCTCAGAGATTCTCAAAATAAAGCGAACCTGTTGGAATGCGCGAGTAAATCTCTATAACCACCTACCGGTATGTGTGTGCGAACGCAGCGCCAGGAAGGCGCGTGAGAGATAAGGGAAGTACGCGTTGGATGGAAGAGAGCACTAAGGAGTAAGAAACGATTAATAGTAATAAGTTTGTTGTATTTTATTCAATTCCCGCATAAATCTAACAGAACCTTGCCTTGGGGGGGGGGGCAAGAATTTGACCATCCACCTCAATTTATATCAATTCATACCCCAATTTATGAAGATCTATCACGGGGATGATTCATCAGAGAGATGTTTAGAGAGCTTCAATGCTATCGTTTGTTTATCCCCCCTTAATCACGAATAATGTACTGGTTCAGATGTTTTTTTTATTTAATCAGAGGATTTGAAACGGTAATTCCCCGCGTTAAGCGCGAAATCGCCCTTATCGACGTTATGGCGACGTTTGAGAAACATTCATGTTCCTGAAGATCGCTAATGGTGTTGGTTGGTTATTTAAACGCAATTAAGGGAATATTTATTAAAAGCTCGATATAATATACGCCATAAATACAGAACAGCTCGTCGTAGATAAGACATGTAACACAAAAGGTTGAATAAACAGTTGTTACCAACAGTAACAAGAACAGAGAGCGCCGAAAGACACGTTCTTAACACTTTACCGACCGATAGCCTGTTAATCGACTGTTTTACCGGCCAACGCTTACCGACCGATAGCGTATTAATCGACTGTTTTACCGACCAACGCTTACCGACCGATTAGCCGATTAATCAACCGCTACCGGGTCGGTAAAGTGTTAAAATGTCGGTGCATCGTCGTGTGAACACACCCAAATTGCTAACAGGTGTTAATTACAAGCACTTCTATTCGAAGACGCGATGGAAGTTACGCAAAAATATCGGATCTTGATGCAAATTCATATTTTTATTAATAGAATAAATGAAATTGGGAGCTTCGTAGAGGGTTGTCTCAACCCCTAGATATAATAATTCGTATCTTGCTTTAATTATTTCGAATATTTTTGCATATTAACACTGGAATTGCCCAAGGAAGTAATTTTGACTGCTTTTTAATTTCAATTAGAAAAACAATTATGTATATGACAGAATTTCTTAGAATTTTGTGACTTTTTGTAC